GACCAGGATGGTCTCGATCTCTTGACCTCGTGATCCACCCGCCTCGGCCTCCTACAGTGCTGGGATTACAGGCTTGAGCCACCGCGCCCGGCCAGAAATTTCTAATACTAGTGCGTCTTACCCATAGTGTGTTATCTAGTGGCTTTCAAACTAGGGAAAAAAATCAGTGAACAAAATGGTAGCTGCTAAAATCTGCCATTTTGTTGTGTATTTCTTACAGTTTCAGTTATTTTGCATTTGTATTATACAATGACTAACATCAGCCTTTTACCATTCTTTCCTATGGTATTTTTCAGTAACAATGAATATATTTAGAGATAAAAATAATTTTGTAACCAAGTGTGTTCTTACAGTGCTTTATTTTCCTCTGTTTTCTCTGTGGTGTTGCAGTCACGGTGTGTGCTACAGATTCTATGAGGATGAATAAGACTTGGTCCAGAAATGTCCAAAATACCCAAAACTGGAAAAAAGTGATCCCTGATAGTTAAATGGTTAAGATAGGCTTCCTGAAGGTCATGGTATTTAGCCTGGAAGGAATGGGCAGTACAATTTGAACAGGTAGAAATAAGATGATTAAGGGTAAAGTAAGAAAGGGGAAGATTTGTGCATCATAAAGAGCAGGACTGTTTTGCTAGTAAGAGTGTAGACCACAAGTTGAGGGTATGCTAGGAAATAAGGCTAGAAAAGAAGGTTGGGGTCTGATTATGGAGATTCTTACTAAACCAAGGAGTTTAGCTTATTTTTGATAGGCATTGGGGTGCCACTGAAGAGAGTTGGAGAGGAATGTATGATGCTAACTAAGGTTATTTTGACAGTGCTATAATTATTGGGAACATGAGGCAGAAAGACACTTTACTACAGGTAATAATTTGAAGGCCTTCAATGTATAGTCATTGTGCAAGAAACTTAAGGATCAAAAGATGAATATAATACAATGCCTGCATCTTCGGTCTTGTAGTCTATAATGGAAAGGCTAAATGGTTAAATAGATTATTATAATGAAATGTGGTAAATATGTTAAAAGAGTTTAGTGTCTATGTTTTGAGATAGAGTCTTGCTCTGTCTGTTGGCCTGGCTGGAGTGCAATGGCTTGATCTCAACTCACTGCAACCTCTGAAGCCATTCTGATGCCTTAGCCTCCTGAGTAGCTGGGATTACAGGCATGTACCACTGCATCCAACTAGTTTTTTGTGTTTGCAGTAGAGAAGGGGTTTCGCCTTGTTAGCCAGGCAGGTCTTGCACTCCTGGCCTCAAGCAGTCACCCGCCTTGGCCTGCCAAAGTGCTAGGATTATAGACATGAACCACCACACCTGGCCATAAATATGTTAAAAGGTTGATATAAAACAGATGACCGCGGCATTTAGGTTGTTTGGGGTGTTGAGGGAGTGAGGGATAATTCCAGAAAGGATTAATAATTGTCCTGAAGGGTACGGAGGAATTGGCAAAACTCCCAAATTAAAAACTTTACCCAAACATTTCATCTTAGTGTTGAGTCTATATTTAACATAAAATACTAACTTTTTCATTTACTGCTTTAAAATTCTTAGCTTCCCTCCTCATCCCTGATTTACAATTTTTTTTTTCTTTCGGTCTTCGTAAATTCATAAAGAATGTGTTTATCAGTACTTTGGACTCCACTGGAAAAAAATTTAGAAGAGGCCAAGAGGGTAGGATGAAGGGCCTTCTAGAGAGGGGGAATAGACTGAAAAAAATAAATAAATAAAGCAGACATTGGATATATAGCAGTGAACAAGAAAGTAGTTTCTGCTCTCATGTAAATGTTCAGCATACTGTTGCAAATATAGAACTCAAGTTCCAAAGATATTTATAGTAGAAATACAGATTTGGACCAAATTTCTAAGATCATGATAATGGATGGGTAGGCCAGATAAATAGATGAGTATGAAGTAGAAGATGTAGGGAGAGAAAAGACTCAGCAGGGACAAAAAGCACAGGGAGGAAAAATGGCCAGCAGAGATAACAGAGCAGCCTATGTTAATTAATGATCAGCTGTGGTGTTTTTTTTCCCCCCTCCGGCCCAGATGGATAGCTCCCAGTTGATCCATTGTCGGGAGCTTGTGGCACATCACCTTTCTACTCTGCAGTCTTCCCTGCCTCTAAATTCCGTTTATGTCTACCGTCCCCTCAAGCACACCCTGGTAACCTGTGACAAAGGAGTGTTCAGATTACATCCCTCCTCTGTCTCAGGCCCAGACTTCTCCAAGGACAACAGCAAGCCAGAAGTGCCAGTCAGAGGTACAGCAGCCTTTTACCATCATCTCCCAGCTGCCAATGGGTGCAAGCAGATCTCTGCTAAACGCAAAGTAGAGGAAATGGAAGTGGATGACTTCTATGATGGAATCAAACGGCTCTATAATGAAGATAATGTTTCAGAAAATATGGGTTCTGTGTGTGGCACTGATATATCAAGACAGGAGGGACATGCTTCTCCTTGTCCACCTTTGCAGCCTGTTTCTGTCATGTAGTTTGAACAAGAGTTACCTTTGAGTGTAAACTAAGGTAGACTACTCTGGGAATAAGAACATGGAAAGTGAGGAAAGGCTGTAGAAGGAAATATACCTTAACAGGCTGATTTGGAGTAAGCCAGAAAAAAAAAAACAACTCATTATTTATGTGGCTAATTATAATTCAACATTATTTAAGCACATAAAGACCACAAAAAAAAAAAAAAAAAAAAATCTGAAAGATCCAAACTTTTTTTAAACTTAAAAAAATCACTTTGTAGTATGTCAGTCGCACTTTTTTCTGCCATAATGTAATGTAGCTTGCCCCGTCAAAAATTCAGTTAAAATTAATAGCCAGCAAACCTGTTTCCCCCTCAGCATCCTGATTTAATTTTCCCATTGCTTTTGCTTGCTTCTCCATTTAATAGTTAGTGAACTTTATGCATGTTGATCTGTATTCTGATTTTCACTGAACAGGAAACCCCAAAATTATTTTTTAGCAATTGAATGAACAAATTATTTTGGTGTGACAGCCATGATTCAAGTTCCAATTAGTTTGAAAAGGGTACTTTGGAATTGTCTCATATTAATGAGAAGGAGCAACAGAAAAAGTTGCCATATTACCAAATTGATTTAAAATTATGGTTTTCATTTTTGTTTACCTTAAAGTGATGCTTAAAATTTGCATGTAATTAGGACACTTAGATTTGTTGAAAGCATTTTTGATATTTGTATAAAAGATTTGTGATAAAGTTAATATATCCTGGTGCTCACCAAAGAAACATGTATGTAACAACTGAAATTAGATTTTTGTAACTGATTAGTTTTCACTCATTTATAATCAGTAGGAGAGACTGTCTAGATGTTGGGGCAGCTCTATGATTTGAGTCTGTAACATGTCATAACTGAATTAAGTACCCTAGTTTTATGTTCAGCTGTTAGAACTTACTCCCCCTACCTCCCCAGGTTACCTATATCTCTTAATGACTTCTGGATCCTGAGCTCCCTTTGCAGTCTGAAAAAGGTATTGCAGTCAGAACTGTGTACTGATGATAAAAGCCTCTGGTAGCAATAAAAAGTTGTCCTTAACTTTTGTTTCTGTGACTTTTTTCTGGTTGTGAAGAGGTACAGGTTCTTGATTGGCTAGGCACTGCTATTTCAACTAGAGAAAACAATGGAAAGACTTAAGAATGTACTTACTGAAAATAAAACATGAAGAAAAGGGGATCTGAATGTAATTGAGGAATACAGGTTTTTAGACATAAGAATTTTTCTTTTATGGTATCCACTGGTACACTGTGAATCTTCCAAATAGCAAATTCTCATCTTAATGTGACTGCTTGTGAGGGTAGGCTCAGACCCATATCTTTAAAATATGTCATTTTTAATTTTCAGATTTAGCAGAACAAGAGTATTTTCAGGGGTCAACATCTGATTTGTAAAAAAATTTTGTGGTAGGGTCGACTACCTGTTTTATGACCTTAAAATCCAATTAAATGGGAAGCATTTACTCACATCGGTACAGGGAGTGAGAGGGAAGATGGCAAAGGATTGCCTTCGCAGACACACATTTAAAAAATTTCTCATTCTGATCTTCATCTGTTTAATTCATCTGAATTGTAGGAGCTCTAAGAAATTTACAATTGCATATATTCATAGTATCTGTATAATGAATGGGACTTAATTCTTTCTCTTCCTCCTGTTTAACAGATGAGGACACAGTTGGGTTATGTAGAAAGCTAGGGATAAAATTGAGTTTAGAGTCAATATTTTATTTGTAGTCCAGTAGCTGCAAATTGAGCAGAATTTAGAGGACAACAGGATTTTCTTTTTTGGTTTTAAAGCTTTCAATATTTAAAAATTGCTGGTAAGTCAGTTTGTAACAGCATTCTTTTCATGGGACACCAAGTAGGATAGTGGGCTGCTAAGCTCTCATGCCTCAAAGCTTATTTAACCCATCTCTCTGTTCCGTGATAGTACTTTGGAGACCTGGCCCTCAAGAGCACTCTGGCACTGTGTTACACTTTCTTAGCCACCATTTCAGAGGCCTGAGCCTGCTTCCTCACGACCGACTTTGGGCCCTTACAGAACTGTGGCTTGTGACAGAAAGCATAGTATTCTTGAACAGTGTAGAACTCATTAAGAATGTTCCTGGCCCAGGTGCGGTGGCTCACGCTTGTAATCCCAGCACTTTGGGAGGCCGAGGCGGGCGGATCATGAGGTCAAGAGATTGAGACCATCCTGGCCAACATGGTGAAACCCTGTCTCTACTAAAAATACAAAAATTAGCTGGGTGTGGTGGTGTGCTCCTGTAGTCCTAGCTACTCTGGAGGCTGAGGCAGGAAAATTGCTTGAACCTGGGAAGCGAAGGTTGCAGTAAGCCAAGATCACACCACTGCACTCCAGCCCGGTGCGTGGCAATGGAGCGAGACTCTGTCTCCAAAAAAAAAAGAATATTCCTGCTGCCCTTTTTATCTGAAATGATTCTCAGCCTGTCCCAAGTTACTTGTGTTAAACTTTGGCATCACATCACAAACTCAAGATCTGGAAACGAGCATTGCGTCATTATGCATCATAATTGTCTGGTGCCTCCTCCCTGTGGTTAAAAAACCTGTCACTCCGTGAAGCCTCTGGAAAAGCAAGGGAATATACTTGATGGGCGAACATGTTCTAGCCCTCGCAGATTACAGGCTAAATATTTTACTTCATTCTCTACGAGATAGAAACGAAGTAGTTATATGGAGAACTAGAAGTTTTCTCTACAGGTGATGTATTAGTTCATGGGGGGAGGGAAAGCTGGGAAGGCAGAGTGCCCCCAAATGTCAGTAAAAGGTCAGCTATAGGCTGGGTGCTTTGGGAGGCCGAGGAGGGCAGATCACAAGGTCAGGAGTTTAAGACCAGCCTTGCCAATATGGTGAAACCTGTCTCTACTAAAAATACAATTAGCCAGGTGTAGTGGCAGGTGCCTGTAGTCCCAGCTCCTAGGGAGGCTGAGGCAAGAGAATCGCTTGAACCCAGGAGGTAGAGGTTGCAGTGAGCCAGGATCACACCACTGCTCAGAGACTCCATCTAAAAAAAAGAAAAAGGTCGAATATAACCAATTGGTCATAAATGTTCCTGACACTGCCTTTGGCTGTGGAGGAAGGTAGAACGTAGTTCCTCAGCCAATTTGATGAGAATTAAGACACTGGTGTTTGTGCCCCCAAGAAGTACTATTTATTTTATCCTGTGTTGTTAAGAGCCAACCACTTCTGTGCTCTTTACATAAGTGAATTTTCAAGCTTTTAAATTTACTCCTAGGTTTCTTTCTTTCTTTCCTTCCTTTTTAAGAGATGGATTTCACCATGTTGGCCAGGCTGGTCTCGAACTCCTAACCTCAGGTGATCCACCAGCCTCGGCCTCCCAAAGTGCTGGGATTACAGGTGTGAGCCACTGTGTCCAGCCCTACTCCTAGGTTTCCTAAAGCAAGTTATACTTGAGCATTAATGCCCAAAGCAGCATGGTGGCCTTTCACTTGAGAAGAAAATGTGGTTAAGCTACTGATGCACAGCCAATATGATGAGGAGCTTATCTTTATAGAGTCTGCAGATTTTCAACTGGAAACTGAAGATACTATGTCACATGTTCTCACATCATCCTGGCAGATGCATCCCCAGTTTACATAGCTAAAACGCTTTTAACAGGATTCTACTTCTAACTCATCTCAAACCTTTACCCTTTCTATTTGACATCATGAAGTTTTGTCTAAATACACGTGTAAATGTTAACTTCTAAAGCCTTCAAAACTCTTTAAATTATGTTGAGAATGTCTCCTTTATCCGTTATCAGATGTTATGAGCTTTGGCCACTAGATGGTGCTCCTAGAAAAATACAGCATCTTTAAATTTCTGGGAGAAATCGAGTTGTTTTGGGTTTAACGTATGGTAGTAAGCAGTTGAATACTCGTCTGGTTGCTAAGCCAACTGTGCTGGCTTAGTTACAAGTTCACATTACTTAAGGTACAGGAGGCCTGTGTGTGTGAGAGACTGAGAGAACCTTGGCAAGATAGCCAGGCTTAAGGGGCAGACGGTGACTGGATACCAAGTTTCAGACCAAGAAAAACCAGAACCAGCCTTACAAATCTCAATTAGTGAATTGTGTAGTTCTGCAAAAGGGCCTAGAAATACAGTTGAGAAAGCTTGAATATAGCCAAGTCCCCAAACCTTGCTGCTTTCTGTTTGAGTTGGATTTGGCCAATCATTAGGAGAGAAAAGATGAAGCGCACACGGATTTAGCACAGCTTGCATCAAGGAATTAAATCACGAGCTTTCCCTCACCATATTTAGTGACTTTTATGATGTACTAGTATGTAAGACAAATAGAGACATAACTCTCCCTTGTACCACTTTTTACTTGAAAAGATTTAATAAGGTAACCAAGACCGTCTTATCAGAGAAATTTGAGAACTAGCTTTTTTAGTTCCCAGGAGCTTCTGGAGTTAAGGATGAAATGAGAACCTCATAACTCTTAAAGTATAGCCTTCATAGCAGATCATATGCCAGAATTGTTCACCTTATTGTGTTATACAACAATAAGGTAGCAGAAAGGCAGTTTGAATAGCCCTAGGCCTAGTGAACTGGTCTCTCATTTGTGGAAATAGCTTATTTTGTTAGGCAATAGGACACTCTAGAATGAAGGCCAGCTTTAGGCAAGCAGACACTGAAAAGCGATTGGTGGGGAGCAGAGTCCTTTTTGCTTTTCAGGATATGATCTGTCTTCTGCAAACAGCATAGAAAGGGCTTGCCTTTTCTTTCACCCTCAACATTGCTGTGCTTATGAGTTATTCAAGTTCAATTCATGGTACATGGCTAAATCCCCAGTACCTAACGTAGGCCTGGTGCAGTACATACAATAAAGTATTTGGAAAGAGGGAAGGAGAGGTTGGGGGAAGATGGAAAAAAAAACCACACACACACACAAGGAAAGCGAGAACTGCAGCTCTCCAGAGTTCTAAACACATTGTGCACAGTTAAGCCCAGCTCTTTTGTTTATGTAACAGACAGGGTCTAGGTCTGTTGGCCAGGGTAGAGTGCAGTGGCATCATCCTACCTCACTGCAGCCTTAAACTCCTGGGTTCAAGCAATCCTCCTACCTCAGCCTCCTGAGTAACCAGGACTATAGGCACGCACCAACATACTCAGCTAACTTCAAAAAATTTCTTAGAGATGGAGTCTTGCTGTTTCGTAGGCTGGTTTCAAACTCCATGCCTCAAGTGATCTTTCTGCTGCTGCCTTCCAAAGTGCTGGGATTACAGATTTTGAGCCACCACACCAGGCCAAGCCCAGGTCTTTATGGAATGTTATTCTGCTCCCCGTTCCCCACCCTCAAACACACATATTTATTTGTTCTTTTGTGGGGCAGGGACCAGCAAAATCTTGTAATAGTCTCTGCCTCCCCTGATCTAGGTGCCATAACTTTGGAAGAAACTTCCCACAGTGGACTGAAAGACTATTCATCTCATATCCCTACAAGTAACTGATCTGAGGCAGATGTGAAATCTTTTGTACCTCATGAGATGTTCCACTGACAACCAAAAGGTCTCATTTATATATAGCTGCTAATCAGGAACAGCAAGATAAGAAAGGGAGATAAGTAGACACCTAGGATCCCAATTAGTCTTCTCAAATTAGCATGTGCAACCTGAGTACAATAGATGATACTGGTAATCTCAGCATTTTGGGCAGCTAAGGTGGGAGGAATGCTTGAGGTCAGGAGTTTGAGACCAGCTTGGGCAACATGAGACCCCATCTCTACAAAGAAAATTAACCAGGCATAGTTGCTGGTGCCTATAGTCCTACCTACTCAGGAGGGTGAGGTGGGAGGACTGCCTGAACCAAAGAGGTCGAGGCTGCAGTGAGCCATGATTGTGCCCGTGTACTTCGGCCTAAGCAACAGAGTGAGATGCTGCCAAATAAAAAAAAAAGTTACTACAATCAATCCCTTCACCAGCCCTGGGTATGCCAGTTGCTTGCTAGAGACTGAAACACAAAACTAGGTATCTTGGTCTTAAAAATTCAAGCACTAGGAACTCTGAAGTAAGCCACACTGCCATCACTGTCAGTCTCCAGGTAGAAAAAGGTTAACTCAGTTGTGAAACAAAAGCTTTCAAATGTGGCTTTAAAAAACTGTAATAGTCTTTTGTATGTTTCTTTTTTTTTTTTTTTTTTTTGTAAGCAAGGTTTCATGTACTATGTGTAAATAGTCACATATAGTATGATTTTAGGGTTGAATAGTCCATTCTTTATTTTTTTTTTTTTTTTGAGACAGAGTTGTGCTTTGTCACCCAGGCTGGAGTGCAGTGGGGCAATCTTGCCTCACTGCAACCTCCACCTCCTGTGCTCAAGTGATTCTGTTTCCCGAGTAGCTGGAGTTGCAGGAACATGCCACCATGCCTAGCTAATTTGTGTATATTTAGTAGAGACAGGGTTTCACCATGTTGGTCAGGCTGTTTTCCAATTCCTGACCTCAAGCAATCCACCAGCCTCAGCCTCCCAAAGTGCTGGGATTACAGGCAAGAGCCACTGCACCTGGCCATGTATTAGTTTGTTTATTAGATACCAGAAATGTTTACCCATAATCTGGGCCAATAGCAGGCAAATAAAAATAAAAATAACCAAAATAACTAAGAAGGAAATTTCATTTGATAAGTACTGTTGATGGGGAAAAGAAGTTTGGTCAGTCATTGGGGGTGAGGACCTGTTTCTATCTGTCCAGCTCAGTGCATAACGGTTGAGAAAACTGGATCTCTCCTTTATACATGTGCTGGGCTAATGTCAAGGAGACCATCTAGACCATGCTTGTATCAAGGAAGAGTCTGTATCTGAAAAGAACTAATATTTAAGATTGAATGAAGAACAAAAAGAACTATTTTATTACCAGTGGAAATAGGTTTAGATGCCTCACTTCTCCCTGCTTCGCTTTTCCACAATCTTGAGATAAGCCAATAATTTTTATTGCTAGGGGCAGGGCGCGGTGGCTCACGCCTGTAATCCTAGCACTTTGGGAGGCAAAGGTGGGCGGATCACGTGAGGTCAGGAGTTCAAGACCAGCCGGGCCATCATGGTGAAACCCCATCTTTAAAAAATAAATAAATAATTTTTATTGCTAATAATTTTACACCCAGGATGGCTTCACACCCCTTACTTGGTCATCCAGGAGAAAAACTACCAGCTTTATAAACACTGGAGAAAAAGAACTGCCTAGGGTAAAATGCCAAATCAACGGCCGTCTATCTTAGGGGAAGAAAAACGGCAAGGCACTTGGCTGGCCAGAGGTGTACATGATCAGGTTTCCCTAGGTAACTGGACTGAGGCTAACCTACTGATAATACCCTCTGTTCCCCCACCCCCTCCCATTAAGATGGTTATTATACGTCCTCTAATCTGGGAGCTAAAACAACAAAAAAGGAAATAGCAACAACATAGATTCCTTACTTAAAAAAATTCTGCCTAATTTGATTTTTAAATATTGCTAAAAAAAATTTACAGTCTGATACAGACTTTGTTTTTAAAATGATAAAGTTAGAATATCAAAATAGGGAGTTTAAGAATAAAGCCGCTATATACTTGGTGATGACAGTGGTCTCACACAACAGGATCCACATGTTTAACTTGCAAAACTGATGTGCTCTGGCATCAGTTGGTAAGGAGCTGCTATTCCTTTCCCACTCCACTGGTCACACTACTAGCAGATTTCTGTCCTTATAGACTAAAGTGAAGGGGATGGCTTTTGATGCTGATATTTTGATCATTTAATGGCTCACGTGATTCTGACTTTATTACTTTTACTTGGTTTCTTTCCTAAGAAAGCAGCTTGCCAACTTGTTCATCCAATTGCTTTAAATAATCTCTTCCCAGGAATCAAGTGATTCAAGAGGCAGGGACTGTTGCTTCATCATTTCACTGTCTAAAGGAACCATATGTTACCATTCTTACTCAGAGGAGAACATTACTAAGGATCTTGATTAAATGCAACTCATGCCACCAACAGTATTTTTATGGTCTACCTATTATGGAGCTGAAAACTAAAGATGGAAATAAGCACATCTATAGACAAGTAATGAAACGGAAAGATAACAAAATATATGTCCATGCTCTACAATACATATGAATTTGAAAATCGTCCCTTGGCTATAAAACTGCCCCTAAGAAGTGACTGCTAACTAAAGCAATCTAGCCCTGAATCTGATTCATCACAAACAGGTCAGCATTAGAAATCACAGGCTCACTCAAACTGGCAGAAGTATGTGTTTGGTTATGGGTGTGATTTTAAGTGATATAGTCTGAATGCTTTCTCAGCAGGTTTTTTGCAGATGTTGTAGAGAAATCCACGTAGGTAACTCTGAGAAGACAATGTGAATCAGAACCATCATTAATGATGCTGTTATCTGGGAGAAGAGGTATGTACTTGTTTGGGGTTCATTTCCCATGGTCCAAGACATATGAGTCCTGGTAAAAAACTGTGGACACAAGGTACAGAGCTTCACAACAAATAAAAAGGCAGGGATGGGCCAGTAAGTTATTTTAAGATATCTTTAAATATAAATTGAACCCCAGAGGCAGAAAAGTCATCTACCCAACACCAGCACATTTTAAACATGATTAGGACTTGTAGGTCAAAACCCCATAACAAAAAAGGAAGTTTTTGGTTGTTTCCAAGATGAGCAAAGCATATTAAACAGAATCTTGTGACTTAAACTTCACTCAAGTGAGCTTAAATCTGGCATAATTTTGATACCAAAAGTAAGCTGAATAACCAATACAAAAAACAGAACTAAGTGGAATTTTTCTCCCCCAAAATGTAATCCCAAATCTAAAACAACTTATATATAAGGGATGCAAGTAACAGAAAAAGTCAAATAAAACAACAGTGGTTCCTGAATTTAAAGGAAGGATGCCCACTTCTCTCTCTCTCAAGAGGCAGATGGTCAGCTGAAAAATAAAAACATTGTATCAATAGAACACTTCATTGTATCAAAAGAAAAAAAATTGCAGCCATCTCTGTTCATGCAATATCAAATGTTTAAAAAAAAAAAAAAATCCCAAACACCAAAACGACCCATAAAACTAACAAAAGGAAGGAAAATGTTGCTCAGATCTTATGACCTGATGGTTCAGGATCCTGATCAGGCTGTTCAGAATGTGGCTCACAGGACAGAAAGGACAGGAGTTACCATGAGATCAAGTTTGTGTGCCCCAGAGGTGGTGGTCCCCTCAGGTTAGGGTACATGCTGTCTTCAGTCAATCATTTCTTGGATCAGCAGCTTCAAGAACATGATAGTTCTAAGCAAGGAGATCCCAGCACAAGACCTTGGGTCTTGGCCCAAGTTTTCTGTTTCACTGAATTGCCTTTTTTCTTTTTAATTAATATTATTGAATATGACTGTTTTTTGGTAGTGATAAGTCACTTCAGTATCCACTATGGGCAGACATTGACAAATACAAACAGCAGTGCAATATTTGACACAGACTTTAAAAGAACAGGAGGCGATGGTGGAAATGAGGTAACTCTTCCCCAACACGTGTGAACAGACAGCTCCTGCTCTTCTAATGCTCTATGTCCATTAGGAGAGAGTAGGGCTTGTCAACAGGATGATTACATAAAGAAGAAGCTACAGAAAAGAAAAAAGAAAGGTTCAGATTCAAATTTGATTCTTAATGGCTTAAGAAAAAAAAAAAGGAGCTTCTCTACAACAAGCTGTGAAAGAACAGCAGTGTGTCAGTTAACAGGGTGACTTCCTCGAGCTCGGTGGGAGGGTGAGCAGCAGCAGGGAAGAGGAGGCCAGTGAAGATCATGGTGCCTCAGCGGGACACCAAGGTAAACGAATTGGCAGGGTGGACAGGGACAGGAATGGGGGAGAAGGGTGATAACATGATATGTGAAGTACAGGACACCACATGGCAAGTATCTTTGAGAAACTGGTGTAACCCAGATGGCAGCCATTTGAAGTCCACCACACGAGGCAGGAAAGCATGAGACTCTGTTATTTATCCCTGTTTCTTTTATCCAGTTAGCACGTGTACATATGCAAATCAAGCAGCGACTAAAAAGAACTCACAAAAAAGGGCACACAAACAACGTTTGGGTAAAAATATATTTTCCCCCGCTTTATGTCTTGGCACTAGTGATATATGCATAGAATACCTGTCCACCACTCTCCTACCTTAACAGACGCCAAATTACCAAGCATGTTGCTAAGTGATTACTTTCATATTTGAAAAAATGATATGCTTCACATCAATACATTACTTTAGTTTTTTAAAAAAGACAAATGTCTAACATGCAGCTTACATACATGACAATTCTGCATTAACACTGAAAGTAGATTACACAACAATTTAAGAAAACACATTGGTTATTTCTAAACAGCAAAATGACAAGGATCTACAACTACAGTTTAAGGCATATCAGCATATTTTAAAATTAAGAAATAGACAAAGTTCTAATGCTGTTCACAGCTTTTCAACTTATTTTAAAAATTCCCTTCATACCTACATACAAACCAGACTTTGTAGGTCATAAATCCCACTGAAGAATGAGTCCTGGCAGAGGAACCAGGACTTCTGGAAGCTGAGACAATTCCAGAGACTTGCAAATAGCAAAGCAAAGGGGTGGGAATAGATAGTTTTTGTAGGACCACACAGAGACAGTAGGACGTGGGTCGGTAACAGCTGAAAAACCTCACTCAACAGTCTGTATGTGAAACAGTCATGAAAATCTCAAGAAAGCAAGGAAACCAAGTCTTCATTTGAGGTGCACAAGATGTGGAGAGTGTGTGTTACTGCTGGTGAGTCACAAGGCAGAGAAGGAAGATAAGTAATCTGTGCCCAGTGTTACATTAAATAATTTCCCTTGTTGAAATGCCCTTTTTGGAGAAAACCTTAACCAATTAATAAAGAGCCTAAGTTGGGAAAACAGTCTGAATTGCCAATAAATTCTCATCAATGCTTTTCCATCACATTCTACAGCACATGTGTTATGGAGCTTTAAAGCTCAGAAGCAGCAAAAAAGTGGTCATTATGTTTGAAGAAAAGATGTGGGGAAGGCCAGCTAGAGTTATATAGGCCCCTCTCTCCCCCAAAAAGAGGCAGCCACTGTCAGCAGTTAGCACCAGGAAGAGACCATTAAGCTAAAATTAAAAAAACAAAATTAAGTGGTCATAAAGGCAGCCTGGCATAAAATTTTTTCTCTTGGTTTTCTCTAGTAGAAGGTAGTAATTTCTCATTCTGGCTTTATTTGCATTGCCAGAATCAAGGCCCCTCTGAATTATCCAATGATGCCCATGAGGCTATGTACAGCACAGGCAAGGATTAATAATTTCTTTTCTTTTGTTTTTGGAGACAGGGTCTCACTCCATCACCCAGGCTGGAATGCAGTGGTGTGATCTCAGCTCATTGCTACCTCCACCTCCCAGGTTCAAGCAATTCTCCAGCCATAGTCACCCAAGTAGCTGGGACTACAGGCATGTGCCACCACACCTGGCTAATTTTTGTATTTTTTGTAGAGATAGGGTTTCACTATGTTGGCCAAGCTGGTCTAAAACTCCTGGCCTCAAGTGATCCACCCACCTCAGCGTTCCAAAGTGCTAGGATTACAGGCATGAGCCACCACAGCTGGTCTGGATTAGTAATTTCTGATTTCCAAATTTGAGTCAAGAAGTGGAATTTATGTGGTTTTTGTGAAAAAAATATAAATTTGGCCTTTTAACTAATAGTTGAAAAAAACAAGGGCTACTCAAACCTCAAACATTACCTCCCTGCCCCCCTTGAAAAGAAAAAAAAAAAAATCCATCCATCCCATTTGCTTTCTCTAATTTTGAAAACTCAGAAAGATCTCAAAGGTTTCTTACTACCGTACTTACATGCAAAGGCGAAAGCGCATCCAATTAGATTTGAGGGTATCATTTATTCCGTGCAGAGCCAAGGACTACTGTGAAAAAAGGCATAGATACAGAAAGAAAAAAGAACAGCAGCAATAACAAACTAAACAGGGCTGAGGAGCAGTGGCAGAAAAAAGTTCAGAAGCAACACATTAAAAAAAAAAAGCTTCTATTTGTTTCTTTTGACTTTTTATTCCCTGACTCACCATGATTTATTTTGCTATGAAAAATTTAACGCAAAAAAGTCAATCCAGTCAATAATCTTGGAATCAAAAAGTCAGCTGGATGCCTTTCGTTGTTAAGCTCATTTAAAAAAAATTTAGTGATGCAAGAAATAATTTAAAAGTATACTTTCTGTATAAGGCACAAAAAATGCTCACACAAGCAGTGGTTGGAACAAGCATACAACACAAGTATTCAGGCTTTTGTCTGCTGCACAGCCTATGAGCAAATCCAGCCCATGGTTCGCATCAACATGCCAGCTACTATTTGGCTGCTCTACAGCTAGCTTTAGACTAGAATCATTTAAAAAAACAAACGCAAGAACAAGAATGTTGGTCCGGTAGCTCCTAAACCTGTGAAGACTATGCTGCTGCGTCTAGTTTATAGTTTGTATCCCAGCTTCGTTTAGGCTTCAATGAAACTGATTTCCTTACTTTGCCTAATTAAGCATAATCAGTTCCTGGAAGACCCTTCCTTCTTTCCTCTAAGTATGGTTGAGGACGAAGAGAAGGAAAAAGTCTTTGCTGAAATCAGAGACTTGTTAAAATTCAAAAAAGAAAGTGTGTGTCAAGGGAGATGCAGCATATTTTATCATTCTTACTTAACCTATAACTAGTGAGGGCCAGAGGAAAATGCAGAGCGGAAGTGGGTTGATAAGAAATGTTATCCTTTCAAGTAAGAACAGGAGACTACATGTAGAGAGAAAGCTGGGAGGATCTTGTTAGGAGAGGGGAAAAATCAATCAGAGATGAAAGGATAAGCATCAGAAAGGAGCAGTATTGAAAAGACTAAACATGCACTCTTCCATGCAAATTAGCCATGTAGTACAGGTTCTGGGATATGGGTCAGTTCTAATCTTTGATAAGGCAAGGGACTTAGACAAAGAGCAGGTGGAGCTAGCCATGGTGAGGAAAATTCCAGATGATGATTTGAGACTTCAGCTGTTCTATTTCTTCTTTTTTTTATTGCCAAATACTGGAAGGAGACTAAGGAAGGAAGCTGGATAGGAAATGTCTACCTTCTTGACTTATGGGTCATGTTGTGGTCCTTCCTATTTCCACCTTAAAATTTGCAAGGTCCCCTCAAATTTGTGCTGCCAATGATACAGTTTATAACAAATTTTCTAAGGGAAGTATTTGTGGACATTTTCTCACGATTAGTGAAAAATTTTATTAGAAGTACAAATATCCTGGAATCAGTCATCAGGTCCTCCCTCTAAGCCCACTGGGAACAAACTGAGGTGTGTTTATGAAAGATTCCTTATTGTTAGTGGTAAGTAGGTTGTAGAAGATTCTTCTACTAAGCAATGTTATATGATCCAACCTTTAAGATCCCTGTCTGTGAGAGGATCAAGGATGCACCAGCAAATGTGAACATAATCTTAGTTTTCTCATAACAGTCTACTCCAAATTGGCCAGGATTTGAAGGCAGGCATTCAGATACAGTTTCAAACCATCAGAGGAGACAGTCTGAACAGACCCACAAGCTCAGGCCAAATAATGTTACTCATTAAAATGAAAATGTTATACAAGTGTAAAAATAAAATATAATGCTTGCCCACCATTCTGTCTATGTACAAATCTACCATGGCTTGGGACAAGTGTGGAGAAAAGACAGTGAGTTCAGGGACTGTGCACTCATGGAGATGAATAATCAAGAAAATGCAAACTCTTGTCATGGCTATTCAGGTTTTTAGTTCAGCTGCTGAGGCGGTGAGAAGTTTTCATGTCAGACGTACAGGTAGCATTTGACCCCACTTTCCTCTGTCCAAAGCGACATACAAGTAACAGGCCTGCTTCGTGCTGCCATTCAGAACAGGCATAAAAAGCAAATCATTTACTTTCCGGAAACACAGTCCAGCTGCACAGCGCTTTCGCAGCTAGTCCCTTGTTCTATCATTTTCTACCACTCAACAACATTCAGCAAAACGAGTTAATAATAGTTACTGGTGTTTGAGGAAGGGTAAAAAAAAAAATAAAATAAAACTAAAGAACACACATGGCAGAGATACGATATTACTGCAAAAGCAGGTGAATGCGGGAACATCCTTGGCTTGCCAGGCTTTATGTGAAGCTTGCACTGCAAGTTAAAAAACAAAACAAAAAAGTTAGAAATAATAATAAATTAAAAAGAAAGGAAAATTAGGAGCGACAGCACCAGCATTCAGTGATGGTGAATGCTCATGCAATGATTATGGAATTGACAGAAATTAAAACCAAAAATTTGAGAGGGCTACTCTACATGACAAGCGAAAGCAAAATTTCATACTAAATTAAAGACATACGGTTAGTTTCCATTTGTATGTAATTCAGAATTCACAAGTGACTTCTTGAAACCACTGTATGTTCTAGTGGAAGGTTTACTGTTTTGTTTTTGTTTTCTCAAATAACACAAAATCATTATCTATTAGGTTTGGGTGTCCCATTAGTAATGAATAGGAGCTTCATCTTCCACTTCTGAGCTGCTGAAGGAGTCAGAGAATAAATACACAATAAATGCCTTTGTACAACTGACTTGAAGAAAAGCTCTAAAGCGTCTTAGGGATTGAAATTACATAGTGAATGGAGGACATGCTGTTAATCTAGTTAGGTAGGGGAAAACAGGACAATCACTGTAATGGTTACAGCTATAGCAATGCCATGAGCTTTCTCCCTCTTTTAGGTTCAAAGCAAAGCCAAACCCACGGTCCACGTGTCTAATTTTAGGAAAGTGCAAAACGTGCAACCTTATTCGTTAGCAAGAATCAAAGCAATTTTTTTTTTAAAGATGAGTGGATGGTTGGGTAAACTGTAGTTATTAGATGCCAGGTATGGTTTTAAAATGACGAATTTTAGAACTGTCTTTTGGGATAGATATAGCTTAACCAGCAAATGCCCGCTGGCAATTGTGCAGCCAGTTTTCAGAAAAGAGGAACACTGTCCACTGACCAACTTACCCTCGGGCAGTTTCACCACTGTGGTACAGCCGCAAACAAGGAAAGTGACTTGGTGGCCAGAGATGGCAGAAGGTGGGGTCCAGCTAATGGCAGTGCCAGGGTTAGTCCTACTTTGCCTGTCATCTTATGAAATGTTATACACTCTCATGCCACTACAGGTCAAGGAGAAGTATAAAGCCTTACCTACATTAAAAAAGGAGCGTGTCATTAGAGTAGGAAAAAGAGAATTTGAAACTATTAGAAAAACTAAGGCTTTAAGGTGGAAGCATAGCAGGTAAATAAATAAGCGTCTGCCTTTTCATTTTCTACCTACAGCAAAGCCAGCGCCTAAACAGCAACTCCTGCAACTGCTCCAGCTATGCTGGGTGGCATCTTCACAGCTCTTTTCAGAGTGCTGCTCTGGTTAGCCTGGCTACTGTCTTTCTGCAGTCCCCTCCTCTAACAAAATTCTCCACTGCCACTGGCAGTAAGAGATGTAATTTTTGTTGTTCTTTTTTAACTTTGATAATTCAGGCCTCCACTGGCAATTGCTTTCACTATACAAATGGAAGTGTGGAAAAGGGTAAGGACCTAGAAATAGTTACATGAAGAATATGTGCCATTGTCAGGTACAAAACCTGGTGACTACTCTGAACAAAATTAAGTAAAATATCCTTCAAAATAAATGAGAATATATAAATAAGCTAAAATAGAATCCACACAGGCTTCATAGAAACTTTGAAAGCATTATATATTGGGAAGGCCCCAGGATAGGAAGAAAATAACCTAACATGTTCAAAAGGGCAAGGAAAAACCTCCCTACACTGGGAAATTTGTTACTAAATAAACTTTTTTAAAATGGAGGCACAATAATGATCAGCTCTTGGAATTTTTATTGCTTAAAGGCACGTCTAGTATACACGAAATACTCTTTTAACATTGCTGGTCTTTTAGAAACATTCTTAGTTTTAAAACTTGAACCTTTATGCACTTTAGTGCTTCAGGGTAAAAAGAAAAACTTTGGGTTTCCTAAGCTATTAAGTCAGCAGCTTTTTGTCTCATTCATACCTGTAGATGTATGTGTACACACACACACACACACACACACCCTATATCCTTGGTTAGTTTGGATCAACAAAGGTACAATGCCAAATGGCTTTCATCTGTGTTCACTCGAAGAGTCACTGTAATTTCTTGAGTCTCTTAATGGGGAACATCACTATTAGTGTCAGATGCTCTCCTGACATGCATAGCTACAAAGGGTTTTCTTAAACTGGATTACAATCTATGCAGTTGCTACTCTCAGAATTAATCCAGCATAACTAAATTTTGGGCCGTTGAATGCCTTTGGTCACTTAGATCTGTGCCAACTCCGAATAAAATCACAACCACTTCTATTACTGTTCAGAAAATTTGCCTCCTCTCTGGCTCTGGTGATACATTTTCTGCTATCTCAGAGCTCAGAAAGTTAAAGTTTGTAAAGCATGATTTAAAACTCTATCAGAGTGTCACTGTAGCAGTTCATTTTTATTTTTACGGCAGGCAACATAATGAGATTCCTTAGGGGTGAGCCTACTGCATGTTCACCAAGACTAAGCAGACAAGAGCACTGTGCTCCCTCTTCCCTATGACACGTCTCAATGATCATGCAGAGACTTGATCCTATGTACTCTATGTTTAAAGAATGTAATTCTTTATGTGCTTAAGTATCAATGTTTTTGTTTACTTATGGTCAGTTTTTTCCCTAGAACCTTGGCATGTAAGGCGAAAGGGCAAGACTTTCTGAAACAAGTTCTGAGTTGCTTTATATTAAACAGCTGCCCTAAAAGCACCACCCATTAGACAAAGAAGGGCAGCATCTGCATATCTGCCATTGAAATACCACAAAGGTTTTCCTCAGTGGTATCCTTATCATCATGCTTCCTGTCAAAACTGATAGTTATTGACGTCAAACTAGGCTTTATGATGATTCAAAGGAGAGCTTCAAATCACAGGAGAATGTCAGGGCAGGCCTAAATCTCCCACTAGATTCAGGCAGCTGCTACTAGAGTATCATAGGAAGCGACCAACTCAAGAGCAGAGAATCTGACCCTTTAGCACATGACGTTAAGACCTTACTTAAAAAGCCTTTTATGAGCGCGTTTATGTTTGGCTTGAGTGTTGGCGAAGGTGTCAACTGGATAGGCATTTTGATCCCATTTCACAACAAAACAATTCATCATACTGAATTTAGAGGAAACTAGTGGCCACTAGCAGCTCTTCCAAATGTTTCATTTTGGGAACAAGACTTTCAGAGACTGGCTTGACTTTCATTGACTGGCTTACAAAGTCTTACAACACAGAATAGGAAAATAATTTTAACAATCATGATTTTAGGATTCTCTCTATCAAGAGTCATGAGAATTGGCTTCAGAGGGTGCGGAAGAGAAATCAACCTGTCTTCTTCGAGACTCCTAGTGTTGGTGTGGAAGATGCTACTGGAGACAACAGGTTCCTGCAGGCCTGATTGCTTGGTCAATGTGGTCAAGTTTTATAAATTAATCTTTGTGTACCTTTTAAAAATATTTTTTAAACCTTCATCATCTTCCCTGCACTGTAGAGAAAATACTTGCTTTTATCTTTCTGGTAAAAGACCAGTTTCCAGTCTGTAAATGGGAAAAGTAGAGACATGCAAGAGGAATAAATTGTTAGAGGTCCCCCATGTGTGGGGGTGACACCTGCTTACTTTTTCTTATCCTTGTCTTTCTTGGTTTGCTGGGCCCCAGATTGCTGGGCCTGGGACTGTAGTAACTGAGCCGCTGCTTTCTTCTTCTGGAAGTTGTTCACCTCCTCCTCAAGCTCCTTCTTCTTGTCTTCCACTTTCTTCTTTTCTTCTTGGTGTGTCCGCTTTAGAAGATCAAACTTCTCATGAAGCTGGAAAGAAAAAGACAGGCTAGGTGAACAGAATGAAAATTCTTTTGATGTAAAGTTCTTTGGATCTGTTCAAAAGACATAGCATGTGTCATGTGGCTGCACTGGCTTTAACTACAGGTGTAAAGTACCGTTTTGCTGACTTCCTGGAGGAGCTGGGCTATAATGCTAAAGAGCATCCCTCAGAGTTCTAGACTCCCATGACACTTGAACTCCTTGGGACCAAAAAGTCCTTTGTTCTGTTGCCCAGGCTGGAGTGCAATGACACAATCTCAGCTCACTGCGACCTCTGTCTCCCAGGTTCAAGCAATTCTCCTGCCTCAGCCTCCCAAGTAGCTGGGATTACAGGTATGAGCCACCGCACGTGGCCAAAATTATCTATGATCCTAACAAAAAATTCACACTAGTGGTAAAAGTGGTTCTTTACCTCTGGTCCTTTTTCAAAATGTATAAAAAACATTTACTTAGAGAGAGAGAGAGAGAGAGAGATGCATTATGTATCTGCTACTTAAATAATGCGTTGGGAAATTTCTGGCCCTTGAGGGAAGGAAGGGGAAGAAGGAAAGGAAAGGATGAAGAAAGGAAAGGAAAAGGAAAAGGAAAGGGAAAGGAAGGAATTCTTACTAGACAATTCTAGATTTTTTTACTCAGTATCCCTTTAGTTCTTAAAGCCAACAGCAAATAAGGCTCAACTTTCTCTGCAGTAAAACCATCTTGGGTGCTTAGCTATTTAAATAGCCTCTAAGTTTCAGTAGTTTTTAAGCAAAATAAATTAAAACAAGAAAACGAGGAAATTACTCAGATGATTTCACTTATAAATGTATAGAGATATAGGTCAAACACTTCAGATACTCGTTATCTAGTAGCAGAAAGACATTATGTGCACAGGCACACATGCACACACACTCAAACACAATGAAATGAGTGTTATAGTACTAATCTATGTTAACTTCTAGGAAGCAGTTAATCTGGCCAGGGGAGGGGGACTAAGGTAAGGTTGGAGCAGGGAGTGTGAGCCCCGTGAGGGGAGAAGGACGGGCACAGACATGGAGTACAAGCTTTCGAGAACAAGTGTCAGATCATTGTCCCCAAGGCAGTGCCAAAGATAGACTAAGATGATAATAATAGTCCCAGAATCCCAAATCTCGTGTTTTAAGACTTGCAAATTGAAGAAACACAGATACACAGGCCAGGTGGTCAGATCTGGAGACCTAAGATCTAGTTTTAGTCTTGATTTTGCTGCTAACTAGGTATGTGACTGTAAAAACAGTTTTATAACCTGTTTATCATCTGTAAGATGGGGTTGAGACTATCTGACTCATTTTTCTGGCCTGGTTTGTGGGTCACTCATGACAAATGCATGTAGAAAGTATTTGGACCATCATGAAGTCCTCTGAAGTGGGAAGTATTAAGAAAATCTCTCTTTTACAAATCTTTCTCTTAAAGCAGGACAGATGGCTTACCTCTTTCTCTGCCTCTTTAAGTTCAGCTTCTTTCTCCTTCACTCTCATAACAAACATTTGTCTCATTTCTTCTTCTTTCTTCTGCAGTTCTCCCAGGAATTCATTCCTTTTTGCTTCATATGTCTCCTGAAGACTATTCAAAATCCACAAACCAAGGACAGCATCATTAAATTGTATACTAAGAAATTTCAGTTCATGTAATTTCTACCCATCTACTTCCAAAACACAGATAAAAGCTGCTGCTTGCCATATTAAAGCACAAGTAGAATGGCACCATTCTGCTTTTAGTTGTGCTGTGGTTGGAAAGACAAGTGCATCAAGAACTAGAAATCAGTCAGTAAGCATGACACAGCACTAAAGGCGTGTCTCTGACTAGCCAAGTTTTATCTTACATATATTCATACAGGGAAAGCCTGGGCTGAGGAGGTGGTTTAGAATTTGAGAAGATGGAGGAGGCCTGGTATAGGGGGAGAAGTGAAAAGGCACTGGAGTCCCACAGATCCAGGTTTGAATTCAGGCCGTACCAACTGACCAGCTGTTCTTAGAAAAGCATGCTGGCCAGATACAGTGCCTCACACCTGTAATCCCAGCACTTTGGGAGGCCAAGGCAGGTGGATCACGAGGTCAGGAGATTGAGACCATCCTGGCCAACATGGTGAAACCCCGTCTCTACTAAAAATACAAAAATTAGGTGGGCATGGTGGTGCGTGCCTGTAATCCCAGCTACTCAGGAGGCTGAGGCAGGAAATTGCTTGAACCTGGGAGGCAGAGGTTGCAGTGAGCTGAGATCACGCCACTGTACTCCAGCAGGGCGACAGAGCAAGATTCCACCTCACAAAAGAAAAGAAAGCAAGAAAGAAAAGAAAAGCACAACCTCCCTTGGCCTCCAAAGTCTAGACATCGATACAGTGACACTTACCTTTTAGGGCTACGACCCGGAGAATGAAATGAGGGGAAGGGAGTAAAACAGCCGACATGGAATCAGTGCCCAGTAAATGGTATCCTCCCCTCTCATCTCCCTCCAGCCCACAATGTGGAAAATAGACCCAGCAGGCAAACTAAAGAGACAACATTATCTCTAAAGTTATTGTAGAAAATTGCTACTTTTCAAGTGATATTATCAGTTGTAAACAGAGCAGGGAGAAGTCTAATTTCTGTTTTCAATTCTATCCTCCTCCTGTCTCAGAAGTCAGAGCCCAATATTCTACATTCAATGCTACAGCTCAGCTTTATCTCTAAGTCAAAACAAATATATTTACAGAGAAATCACTTTGGTAACACAGCTTAAGAAAATACACCCCCACTGCCACCCCCAAATACACATAGAAACATTTGCTGATATTTTATAAGGTGCTATTTCTCTCTCTCTCTCTCTCTGGTAGTTTCCCTACAACAACTATTGTATAGTAACCGTCTGCAGTATATCTGCCTTTCCCACGGACCAAATTCATCCAAAGTGTGGACTACAAACTGTATAGCAACTCTGGATGACCCCCAGCACCATGCAGACCACGCACATCATTGATATCCGTCCATTTAGAAGGAGAAAAAGGAAATTCAGGTGATAGGCGCATAGGTGCATGCAGATACAGACATCTATAACAAACCACACAACTAGTTTCGTATTAGAAAACTTATTAGGCCAGGCATGATGGCTCACGCCTTTAATGCCAGCACTCTGGGAGGCCAAGGCAGGCAGATCCCCTGAGGTCAAGAGTTTGAGACCAGCCTGGCCAATATGGTGAAACCCCATCTCTATTAAAAATATAAAAATTAGCTGGGTGTGGTGGTAGGCACCTCGTAATCCCAGCTACTTGGGAGGCTGAGGCAGGAGGATCACTTGAACCCGGGAGGTGGAGGTTGCAGTGAGCTGAGACCTTGCCATTGCACTCCGTCCTGGGTGACAGAGACTCTGTCTCAAAAAAAGAAAAGATATTAATTAGGCTGGTTTATACTTCCATAATTAACATGGCTATTAGTTTATTAAAAATAAGTTCTCTTGCCCTCACCACTGTCAATGGTACCTGTTTATGAACAATCAGAGTTGCATTTAGCTTTCATATCATCTTACGAGATAAAAACATGTTTGGCCAATGTTAGTGCTGGCTACTATTAATAGCAATAGTTGGATTTCCAGTTTAAGATCTATAGCAATGGAGATATAAAGTGTTTTGATAACAGAACTATAAAATAATTCATGAATTTTATTTTGTGTATTAGCTTATAATAAACTATTTATCACTATTATCTGGGTCAGATTTACCAAAGGCAGAGGATGACTTATCCCTCCTATGAAATTTTATAGAAAACACAATTTTTGTTGATATTAGGGTAATGAATACATCTCCCTCTTCTTTCTAACAAACAGTGGAAACTTTGATGGAATCACTACTCAAAATGTATTCCAGAGCCCACCGATTTCAAGAAAGGATCTCCAAAAGAGGGGCTCCAAAATCAAAAGATGGAAGGGAAAATGCTGCCCTACTCTCCTTTTAGGAGATTCACAGTGCATGGATCTCAACCCTGGCCGCACAGCAGGGGCACTGGGCACGTTTTGTTGCATGCACTTTCTTAAATACAGAGTCCTAAGCTCAGTCCTGAAGAGGCTGATTCAGGATGTCTGGTAAGGCAAAACAGTCTAGTTTTAAATGCTTCCCAGGTGATTTGATATAACGAGTTTGCTAACTACTGCTTGTCTTAAATGCTCTGAGAAGCGCTTCAGTAAAAGAATCTGTTTAATTTGATTGTCTTAGAGCTCTCCAAATTTGTCCGATCACGGAAACTAAGCAATTTACTGACAGAATGTGCTTTGGGTAATGCTACCCTAAATGCTGAGAATTCACTAAATGACTCTGCCTTATCCAGTCCCAACCATAAGCTCCAGTTTCTGGATATATATTTTGAAAATATGAATCACAACTCAATTGTGGGTCTTAACCAGTATGTTAAAAAGTTTAAGAGCAGGCATTACTACGTGAAATGTGTATGCTGGATCATAACAGAAAATGCTTTTTATAATGAAGCTTGCAGTTTAAGGCTGGAAAACCTAGTCCCAGAGAAAGCCTAAGTAGCAACAGTGCCGTTGACAAGATTAGCTTCAGACATGAGTCTGGAAGAAATTTTGACACCCTGGGCCACAGCAGGCAAATGGGCTCAACAAATGCCATTTCTTGTATCGTTGTGTCCTAGGAAGTGAGCCAGCTTGCCGCCAGCTATTTTTTTTTTTTTTTTTTTTGAGACGGGGTCTCGCTGGGTCACCAGGCTGGAGTGCAGTGGCCCGATTTCAGCTCACTGCAACCTCTGCCTCCCCGTTTTTTAAGCGATTCTCCTGCCTCAGCCTCCTGAGTAGCTGGGACTACAGGCGAGTGCCACCACACCCACCTAATTTTTGTACTTTTAGTAGAGACAGGGTTTCACCGTGTTGGCCAGGACGATCCCGATCTCCTGACCTCGTGATCCACCTGCCTCGGCCTCTCAAAGTGCTGGGATTACAGGCGTGAGCCACTGCACCCCAGCCCCGTGAGCCAGCTTTTGAACACTGACACTGTAAACAATGATCAGGATCATATGAAAGAAGCCATCAAACTTTACCCCAAGAAATCATAACTGTAATTAGTTACTTATAATAACTTAGAATAACCACAGCATCCACAGAATCATATTCCCAGACACCTCTGCCAGTTGAGTTGTCCACTAGAGATTCCAGAAACCCTCACTAGTATTTCCAGTCACTGAACACCAGCTCAGAAGGAACTGGCTCTACCTAACTGGCTCATATCCAGTACAGATATCCAAAGTGATTATATCTCTTTATACAAAGCCTAAGGAGCCACTCAGGCAGGCATACATATAATTATTTTTTTTTGAGACAGGCTTCTACTGTCGCACTCAGGCTGGAGTGCAGGAGCAGGATCACAGCTCACCGTGCCCTCAAACTCCTGGGCTCACGTGCTCCTCCTACTTGAGCCTCTCAAGTAGCTGGGACCAACCACAGGAACGTGCCACCAGGCTCAGCTGATTTTTGTTGTTGAGATGAAGCCTCCCTATGTTGCCCGGGCTGGTTTTAAATTCCTGAGCTCAACTGATCCTCCTACCTCAGCCTCCCAGGTTGAGCCACTGTGCCCATCCCTCAAGTGGTATCTTTTGCAACTTTTAGCCCTTCAAACTTAATTTTTAATTACAGTTATTAATAACTTTTTCTAAGTGAGAAATCTGTACCTTTTTTCACAAGGTTTTAGGCTGATTTGAAATTGAGGATTTTATCTTGTAATTTCCTCTTAACAGCCCTTGGGAGAGGCAGGTTTTGCTTGTGGAAGTGAAGGGAAGAGAAAATAAACACAGACACTTCAGTTCATCCTTCATTCTAGTGATTCACACAGCACGATTCTCTCTCTGTTCTCATCTAAAACCATTTAGCAGAGGGCATGCCAGAGTATGATCATCACTACACCTGCATTTGTGGAGCAATACACGTGTGAATTAATTTAATCCTTACAACAACCCAATACGGTGGGCATTACCATCACCTCCCACTTTATAGATGGAGAAACCTGGACACACAGGTAATCTGACCAGGTCACACCACAAAGAAGTGACAGAGCTAGGACTGAGCCCGGGCTGCCTTGCTCAGATCAGAACTCTACCCTCTGCACTGCATGGCTGGTGCACAGAGGTCCAGCCACTCCTACAAACAAATGAGTCTCCTGGGCCTGGACCTTGTTGGCCTTGGAGAAAATGGTGGTAACTGAGTGGTAACTGAGTGCTTCGTGTGAGATGAACAGGGCAAAGCAAGGAGATGGTGGTGGTCTGAGGTGAGAAGGGAGCAGCTTGGGCAGGTACTATTAGGAAAAGCACTGCAGCATCTCAGGAGAAAGGAAGCAGGGAGTGGCTCATGGGAGGCACGTGACGTCTCCTCTTCTACCCTGTAACGCCAGCCAGAAAGGGGCTGGGGTCTGGAGGAAGGAGAGGCCTGGGTCCAGGGAAGGCATGGGTGCTCTGGGTGCTGGAAGCATGAGTTTCAAGGCTTCAGGGCATCAGCTGGGCATGTGCAGGGGACAGATAGGAAAGATGGGTTGGGAAAGAGCAGATGAATGCCTGGCTACATATGTATTCTGCCATGAGACAATAAAGACACAAAGTCTGAATGCAGGCAGGTTTAAAGGAAAACCAGGGACGGCTCCACCAGCTTTACTGCCATGGTGTGCTGCCAAGGCTTGAATACAGCATCTCTGTGCACGCCCCGCTCCTTCTTTTGCCTCACACTGTGTAACATATACAGTGGCAGCTGCCTCTTAACTAGACTTGGCCTTCGAGGTCACTCTCTGTTTTATAAACATGTACTGTAAACACAGTGGGGCCCAGAGGACAAATGGTGAACAAGGGTGCTCACCGGGAAGGATGAACTTCACTGCCCACCATGCAGAAATGCTGTGCTTTGAGAATATAATAAAGCTTTAAGCCCTTGACTTACACTCCTCCAAGCTCAGCCTAAATTCACATGGAAGAACCATCTTTCAAGCACATCTAGGAATGGTGACTTTGCAGATGAAATTCTGGAAAATCACTTAAATCAACTGTGGCCTCTGCTTTTCCTTAATTCTGTTATCCTCCAAACAGTCACCTTACTCCATCCTTCCCTCAATGTGGTCTCAGGTGCATAGGAAGTGTTGAGGGCACCCAAAATCCTTCAAAGAGAAAGGCTGTAAGCCCTTTGAAAGGTAGTAGTTTCCAAGAAAAGGAAAATCAAATTCATTTCATATCACTATTTACCAAGACGTGTACTTCAAAGCCAATGTTTGCCACCAGGTGATCTTCCCTAAACCAGGAAGGACATCAAGTGGTCTAAGAGGAGAAACTGTTTCCAGTTGAAATGGAAAACCTGGTCCCAGTTATCAAGATGTTAGAAGGTATTTATTTTTAGAAGGTCTACTTTTTTTCTGAATTTCTTAATATGGAAATAAGTAAAGGCCTTGGTAATGTATTTATATATATATATACACATCTTCCCTTTCCATCATCAGAAAGTAACTCAGACCAGTGGAAATGGATCCAAATGGGGAGAGGAGATACGGATAAAGCATGCTCTCTAAGCATCAGGCAGCCTCAGTGACGTCCCCCACCAATCCTGAAGCCCCTGAAGCAGGAAGGCCAAAGTAGTAACCTGGCCCAGCTGCTCTCCCTTGCAGAAGCCCTGCTTGGCCTGCCCAGCTCCACCTCCTCCTGGTGGGCAGTTACTCTAGGCTTGCAGGAGATGCCTTAATTAAAATGCCAGCTACACAGACAACTTAGTGGGCTGCATGTCTGTGGCAGCAGGAAATCCTCATCATCCCAGAGAACTAAGGAACCCAGTCAAGATGATGGAAGGACTTGGTCTTGCCTGTCGCGGTAGGCAGACTTAGGCCACTGGGCCCTTCCTGGTGGTTTAAATAGCTAAGGGCAGCATCACAGACTCTTCAGATTCCACAAATTCCTGAGTTGAAAGAAACACAACTATCCAAAGGCTCTTAACATTTTGAGAAGTAAAACATTTTGAAAGGTAAATGACGTCTAACAAACTCAAGAAACAGTAACACGCATTCTAACTTTTGCAGGCACTTCACAGGCTCCAAGTTATAATCTTGTCTAGGGGTTGGCAAACTAGAGCCTGAGGACCAAATCTGGCCCCCCATCTGTTTTTGTAAATGAAGTTTTACTGGAACACAGCCACACCCATTCATTTATGTATGGTCTATGACTGCATTCAAACGACAAGGGCAAAACTGAATCGTTGTGACAGGGACCACTCGGCCTGCAGAACCTAAAATATTTACTATCTCCCCCATTATAGAAAAAAATGTTTTTTTTTACTAGATCTGATTATTCCCTGATCTGGCTCAGCTCCTCATGTCACAGATGAAAAACTCAGGCCCAGATGGGTTAAGGATTTGTAACGTAGCAGGACCAAGAGCTGAACTCAAACCCCTGACTCCTAGCCCAGTACTCTGTCTGGATCTGAATGAAGGCGAGGGGAAAATGAATTCAATTTTATGGCAGTTCCTTTTGTTCCTTATCTCTTTCCATGAACACAAATACTTAATGTAAAACTGAAGACAGCCTATCCCACAGAGAAACCATTTTATCAGGTTTAGTAACCATAAAGTGGACTTGACTTTGTAAGGACTATTTTCTGGTAAATGCATTTCAAGGTTCAATTAGCTAAACCTGTGTACCCAAAAAGGTATCCTACACCTTGCCTCAGAAAGTGACTTTCACATGGTTGGAGATGGTCAGTTTTGCAAGCCCTTAGGGCAGAAATGAATGATGCAATGTTAGCTAGAAGTTAATTTCTTGGTTAGAAGCCCCTTGTCTGGGTTCTTCATTTGTTCTCACTGCACACACATGTTCCTGGAACTCAGTAGCACAGTGCCAGGTGACCAGCCCAGGCATTCCTAAACTATCCCTAAAGCAATTACAGGAAAATAAACTCCCTCCTACAGACCCACAGGGACAGAATCTGCTGTGCACAGGCTGCCTCGGGTTCCACAGTCAGCCAGCTTCTAGACATCAGAGTGTGTTGTAGGGCTAGCCATCAAAGAGGAGAAAAACAGGTTTTATTTGTAAAGGCACAGAGTCCAGACACACCTCACGCCACCTCAATTCAAATCCTCATTAAGAAACTGCTGGGGGGAGTGGGTGGAGGCAGCAAACCACATTGCCATGTGTGTACCTATGCAACAATCCTGCATGATCTGCACATGTACCCCAGAACCTAAAGTACAATTAAAAAAAAAAAAAAAAGAAAAGTAACTGCTCAGGCACCGTCTGGACAATCCTCTCCTCGACCAGGAGGTGGTAAACCTGACCTGGCAGCGTCACCCCCCACCTGTACCCAAAACCATCCCCACGACTCACCACAGTGTGGGCAACAGCACCCTGGCCCTGCCAACCCTACCCCTACCACTGGCTTCTGACAGGGCAGAACTGAATAGCTGTGACAGAGAGCATTTGGCCTGTAGAACCTAAAATATTTGATTCTACATCCACTTTTCCCCTTCACATTTTGCATCTCCATCCATCAGTGATACAAGAAAATATATAAATCTCCTAAAAGCTATTCCCTTTCCTACTGATTCTCTGTTGTTAGAATTTTATTGAACCACTGAAAGCTATCAGTAAAGGCGCTTGAAAAAGGAAGAGCCTTAGGAGTTAAAGCTGTCTTGCAAAAATGAATGGGGCAAACTGTAATCAGCAGCCACACCTTTGTAAATGCATCGACCAGGCTCTGTATCTCTGCAATAGAACAGGTAGAAACCTGGGCTCAGGACCCAGATGGCAAGAGCTCAACACCATACCATCGTTCACTACCTGGAGGACCATGGGCACTTTGTTTACACTTTCAGTGCTTTAGTTTCCTCATCTATAAAATGTGGATGATAATAATGACACCAACTAGATAAGATGGTTGAGATCATGCAAATAAAGCAGTTATCGCAATGCTATTAATCTCTACCCACCGTATCCTTCCATCATCACCATCTCAATCCAGCAAGCATTTCTGTGATGTGCCAACATGCCATTCTCACCACTGTCTGGGAGACACCTGATTGCCAGGTGCCCTCATACCTGAAGGGTTTGCTGTCAGGGTCAGTGTCCTTGAACCCCATCTCTTCAAGCTTACAGCGCCGGTACAGTTCGTAGTGGCGGGTGTGAGTCTGCTCTCGCAAGTCCTCCATGTTCACCCGGATCAGCATCTCTCGAAGTTTCACAAAATCACAATGATTTTCATTCTCAACTACAAGAGATGAGGGAAATGGAGGAAGTGGGATCAGCAATGATGTCACTGAAAAATCTGGAGTGATGTTTCCAAGATGTTATTACCATCACTCCTGAAATCTCTCGGGTATCAAGGCCACCTGAAAATCCTTTACTGGATTCACTTTACATTCCTGACGAAGACAAGATTTCTGACAACATTGACCATAACATTGATGACAACGCTGACTGCTGAGTGCCTACTCAGTGCAGTGCACAGGGGGAGGAGCTTGAAAACAAATATCGTCTTTACCCCTCATAATAACTCTGCCAAGTAGATGCCATGACTCTTGCTTTGCAGATGCAGAAGCTTGGTGAGCAAGATGACCTCCCAAAGAGAGGTAGCAGAATCTAGATTCAAATGCCAGAAATTTGTTCCACTCTATGCTGTCTATAACTGTGCAGGGGCACTTCTACATGCCATTTCATTTAATTTTATCAACACTGAGAAGAAAGCAGTTTTCTTTTTTTTGAGACGGAGTTTCGCTCTTGTTACCCAGGCTGGAGTGCAATGGCGCGATCTCGGCTCACCGCAACCTCCGCCTCCCGGGTTCAGGCAATTCTCCTGCCCCAGCCTCCTGAGTCGCTGGGATTACAGGCACGCGCCACCATGCCCAGCTAATTTTTTTGTATTTTTAGTAGAGATGGGGTTTCACCATGTTGACGAGGATGGTCTCGACCTCTTGACCTCGTGATCCACCTGCCTCGGCCTCCCACAGTGCTGGGATTACAGGCTTGAGCCACCGCGCCTGGCCTGAAAGCAGTTTTCTTATTGTAGAGAAATTGGTAAGAAAATTTGTATTTTTCCCAGGGACCTCGAAGGTACTCTTTCTTATTGCCTTTATTTAAAACAGAGGAAAAGGAGGACTGATACAACTTAAACCAATGAAGAACTTTCTGTGCCATCCTGCTTAATCCACAGCACTAGATGTCCTCCTTGACAACACAAGGGTAGGTCACAGAGTCGTTGCCCTTCAAAGTGACACACCTGACAAGCTTTCAGGTTAGACTGTGGTCACGTCCCAGAGTGCCAAATATAGGTAAAATATTCTCATAAGTCTCAGGTTTACTAAAGTAACATTTTATTAGAAGACACTTTTTTCATAGTTGATGGAGAAAAAAGTACCCTGCTGTTTGCAAGAAACTTTTGCCACTTTTTAATACTTAGCTGGTGAAATGAGTTCCAACTCCTAGGGAAGAACTATTTTTCAATCAGGACTTCATATAAATTCTGTACACAACCCAGCATCCTTGAGCGGCTACCTCAGCGGCTTGGCAGCCACTTCTCTCATTTGCCCATCTACCTGATTACTTTTCTTTCTCCCTTACCTCCACAATTGCCACGTGTGGAGCCCCACCACTGCCTCCCGCTGCCAGCCCACTGTTGAGGACCTCCCTAAACAAGATGGGAAGTGAAGAAACATGACCATTCATATAGTGGCTAAGTGTGAAGACTCCATCTCCCACGCTGGGCACATACCCTGCACCACACCCCAAGGGTACTGCCTGGCCTTTGCCATCTTGTTGCCAATCTTCACCTCTTCAGTGCTGCCAACCACTGCAAATGGGAGATGGACCTGCCAAGCAAAAGGACAGAGAACAGTTACCTTCCCCCTGCTCTGACAGACTGGTTTCCACCAGTCTCTATTATCTTCCTCCTTCTGCAGGCCTCTACTTGGTAGCAAGGGAAAAGGTAGGGAGTGCTGGAACAGGCAGGCTGCAATTTGGTGGGTGAGTGTCACATATCCCAACCCGACTTGCAACCAAACACTGAGTAAGCAATTCAGAGAAAACTATGAGTCTTTGCAACTACACAGTAAGCTTTAGACTTATGCTAGCCGATGCAGTAGCTGCTAACTATATGTGGCTGCTGAGCACTTGAAATACAGCTTATAGGACCAAGAAACCGAATGTCTAACTTTTCATTAGTTTACATCTAAATTTAAAATGGAAGCCATATAAAATACTTTTTCACTAAATACAACTTTATTGTTTTGGCAAAACTGCATTCCACTTTGCTTCAAACTCGAATCTTCTGAAAAAGGCGGCCAAGGAAGATGGCAAGGTGGGTGGAAAGATTAAAAGATAAAGTATCTTTTTGGTACTTATTTCATATTGAAAAATGTTAAGGTATGTTAGGAGAAACCTGGGTATGCAAATTTACCTTTTTAGCTATGAATTGTATAAAATGTAAATACAGACAAAGTATTTTTGGTGAAAATTCAGTCCAAAATGAGATATGCTGTCTTTGTAAAATACAGATTGGATCTCAAAGACCTACTATTAAAATATCTAATAATTTTTATATTGATTACATGTTGAAATTTTATTTGGAAACATACTGAGTTAAGTCCTTAAAATTAATTTCACATTTATTTTTACTTTTTTAAGCGGGCTACTAGAAAAATTTTAAATACTTGTATATCTCACATTATAGTTATATTTGAACAGCACTGCTTTAGGCAGTTGACTGTACAAATTCCAAGTCAGAAACACACTTTAACCCAAATTATTGGCTCAAGCTAGCACCCAGATTCATCTGAAGTAGAGATGGTATCCAAGACAACTGACTCTTTCACATCGGTTTATTTCATAGTTACGGCTGCATTCTGAGTGGGAGAGGAAATAATAATTCTATATTTTTTCTAACAGCATGTAAGAATAAGATTTAAAATAGCTGCTCCAATAATTATTATTTAGAGTTCCTTGATCCAGTGTTCTTCCATGACAGACACAGTGAGAAAGAAGAGAATGTTTTCAAACCAATTCCTCTCCTACAGAGAACTTGACATAATCATTGGCTCAGGTTGCCCATGTAGCATTTTGTCAGGTACTCAAGCTATTGACATTTGCTAGTTCATCTCACACTCTGGAAGAAGGAAAGAAAGCACATTCTCTTTCTCAAACAAGTCTGAGTTTCAGACTTGAACACGATTGTGTCCCCTGAAGTTGAGGAGCAACAGGACCTTTCTGGACAACATTTTGGTGTAATGGGACCAAGGAAATTTTTCCACGCAAATGTAACAAAAGGGACTGCCAGCAGAATCTGTTTTCCTCATATTTCTACACATCATATGGAATTTCATCAGCAACAGTGTTTGTAATGAAGGGCCTAAAAGAAAATTTCTTTAAAGAGCAGGATTAATTTGGAACGTCAGAGATTCAGTTCTATGAATCTGATAAAGAGAGAAAAAGAGCAAAAATTCTTGGGTATTTTCTTTCCAATAAGTTTAACACAGATATAGTTCCATGACTATAAAATAATGAAAATTATTTAGGAATATAAAGAAAAATTACATAACATTCATTCATGATACTTCCTGAATCCCACACTGACATCCCAAATTACAGTTCTACAGCAAAATAAAGGAGTGCCATCTCAGTTTGAGATTTTGACCTTGCTATAAAAAATTATAGACCTCCCACAGTATCCACAGGGTACTGGGTCTAGGACTGTCCATGGACACCGAAATCTATATAAAATGGTACAGTATTTGCAAATAACCTATGCACATCCTGCTGTATACTTTAAATCATCTCCAGATTACTTATAATGCCTCAGACAATGTAAATGCTATATTAGTTATCATAGTATATTTTTAATTTTTCGGTAGAATTTATTTTTATTTTTTTATTTTTCTTGCTATGTTAACCAGGCTGGTCTTAAGCTCCTGATCTCAAGTGATCCTCCCTCCTCAGCCTCCCAAAGTGCTGGGATTATAGGTGTGAGCCACTCTGCCTGGCCATTGATTGATTGATTGATTGATTGTATTATTGTTTTTATTGTTGCATGGTTTTTTTAAATTATTTTTTCCCAAATATCTTTGATCCATGGTTGTCACATTGATGGATGCAGAGGGCTGACTGCACATTGCTCTGCGTGGGTGGTAGTATACAGAGTGAGAGTGTACGCCTGACAAGCCAAAGCCTGGGTTCATATCCTACCTCCACTACTGACACCTGTGCAATCCTACAGTCTCCTCACATATGAGGAAGGAATAAAAACAGTACCTACCTATGCAACTGTTGTGAGGATTAAATGGAAAGTCTTGAACAGTGGCTGGTGCATAGTAAATGCTCCAGAAATGTGAAAAATATCAGGTCCTATTATTATTATTATCTCTCAATACCCACAACCAGAGAATTTTAGAGGTGGAAGAGATCTTGCCTATTATACAGTTCAATCCTGCTTAAGAATTCCTGCTACAGTATCTCTTCCAAGTGGACTGAAACAGGGTCTGATGTCTACCAACCACTGACGACTCACTGCTTCCCAAGAAGTAAGGTGTGTCTTTTACCTCAATGGCTCTCCTAGTTAAACATTTACTTTGTAATGGGACCAAAACCCCCTGTTGATCTTTTGCCCATTCATTTGGGTTCTTTTGCACAAGTCTAGTCATTCCCCCTTGTGGCAACCTTCCTTTCATACCTCATCATGCCTATTTCCTGGGAAGAACCTGCTTTTCAGATTCTTTCAGGGATTCCAGAGCCTTTACCACTTTGAATTCCAACAGTCATCACTGGGCATCCACTATATGCAAAGCATGAGGCTTTCATGGATGTTATGCACTCCCAAAAGAAAAAAAAAGATGTGTAGAATCGCTGCAGCTCACAGCTGAGCTATGGGCTGTGAGGCACACAAAAGAGGGGCCAGGCACGGTGGCTCATGCCTATAATCCCAGCACTTTGGGAGGCCGAGGCGGGTGGATCACGAGGTCAAGAGATCGAGACCATCCTCGTCAACATGGTGAAACCCCGTCTCTACTAAAAAATACAAAAATTAGCTGGGCATGGTGCCGTGCACCTGTAGTCCCAACTACTTGGGAGGCTGAGGCAGGAGAATTGCTTGAACCCAGGTGGCGGAGGTTGCAGTGAGCCGAGATGGCGCCATTGCACTCCAGCCTGGGTAACAAGAGCGAAACTCCGTCT